ACAGACTGCTGGGCAGTTGGATCTGATTCCATGCTACCATACCAAGTACTTTGGTGTCATCCTCATCAATGCCACATCTAAAAAGCTGAAGCCTTTATACTCTGATTTCAAAGGATATCAACCTATTTCTTTGTTCACAGGACATAACTTAACCATGGCCTTCTTGAAACAGCACCTATCTCAGTGAGTTGTACAGAGCAAAAAAAATGCATTTCAGGTCTCTGTCATGTCATCTTTGACATACCTCCTTTTATTAAGCCAGAAGTTTAAATGCAGGTGGCTGCCTTGTAGGCAGCAATTTTATACTTACTTCAATTTTGTCACTGCTCAAGTGCATTTTGCACTAAAACCTGAGATTTATTTCCCTTTTCAGAGAGAAAGTTCTGTAGTTATTTTGCTTTATGCCTTCCTGTACTGTAGAAAAGATTTTACCAACATCTGCTTTATAAGGGTGTGTAATTTATCTCTCTTATGAATAAAGTAGTTATTGTGAAGCAATCCATTAAGTTTCCTCTAATTGCTATACACGAAAAAAAACAGCCTCTATTATATTTGAAAAACCATCTTGTGAAGAGCTACAAGTATATAATGAAGAAGCATTTCTTGATCATTTGGGACACTGCAAAAAGACAACATACATCCAGCTCACGTTGGACTAGAAATACTAGAAAACTTCCAAAAGACTCAGCGGCAGCTCATTTACAAATATACTATTTATAATGAATGCATTGATACAGAATGACTCTTATAAAAAAGCAAGGCAATCTTTTATATAGACATAACAATCAACATTACAATAATTCAGATTAAAAGTACATTTTTGTAGACTGTTTACACTCTTGTTTAGCTTTTTAACCACAAAATTAGCGTGGTCTGGTATTTTTCCACAGTAAAAGTCCTGTGCAGTCCTGGTTAAGACCTAAACATCAGAATATTAAACATCATTTTCTGACTTTTGCCAGCATAAAAACAAAAACCACTTGTAGATACTATCGGTTGTTTGTAATTGTCCTCACCGTGCCTTGAAGTTTGTGTTGTGCAAATTACTGCCAACTGCACATCTGATTAGAAGCTATTCTCAGCATGCCAATTGGATACAACTGAGGTGTGATTTGACCATATGAAAGTTCTTAGTTGAATCCAGATATGAAGACTCTCCAGCTAAGTCTGTACTGATTCAGAAATTTAAATTCAAAACAAAACAAACAAAAAACACTCTGATAAAGCTCTGTGATTTTTAAATAAAAGCTATTTTTCCAACTCCCAGGATCAGAGATGATGCTTGAATTTCACGTGATACAACGGGTTTAAGTGCTAACCAGCCAGACAGTTTGAGTACTACTTTACTAAATCATGTACAAACACGACCTTCAAGAAGTCTGAACATGCACTTTCTCACACAACATTAGCAAAAGATGGACAAACTGCAGGGAAAACCTAAACCAAAAAGAGGCACTGAAGCAAATATTTTACAGCATAAATCTCTTTCCAAAAAGGGGCGTATGAATTTAGAAGTCTCCAAAAGCATCTGACAAACGACAAAGTGCCAATCATACAGCTCTGTGGCCCAGCTTTACACGCAGCCCTTCTGCTGCATTTAGACCAGAAAATTTGTTTAGGAAGTTAAATACGGGACAAGAAGAGACAGAACTGTAATGGTTTTATACTATCTAAACTTAAAGAAAACATTTTTGCAGGGAATAACAGCTTTCTATTTAGCAAATTCAAATGCAATGCAACCAAAATGAGTCATAATGGCAATAAAACCTTCTCTTTCTTATTTAAAAAATCCCTAATCTGTTTTATGCCTTACCAAATTTCCGTAACACTGTGTAGTCTGTAGTACAGTAATTCAGCTTCTGCTATGTCAAGGCATGATTCAGGACAGAGTCTTTATAGAGCATATGTATATGCACATATTTTTATGTACATTGCAGGGAGACATTCAAAATAGATATAAAGGTCATTATTTTCACCCAAAGTAAAGATTGTCACGTTTTACCCCTGTAAATTATTTGGGAGATAACAGTAGGACAAGGCAGACAAAAATATGAGTATTTGGGAATGACCTGTTTCTGCATTCTGCTTTGGAAGAAGCCCTAAAGAGTTCATTTCACCACTCTGTCAATGCTTTCACACAAACATAGATACATATATACATGTATGTATGCATACATACACTTGTCAGGATGAAGTTATTTCTGTTCATACTTTAATTGATTAGGCCCAACAAAATAATTACCCACGTAGAAATAAACCAGCATGTGCCCAGTGTCATCAGGCATTAAATGCCATTTAGAAACCACTCTAGTTAACAAGTCAGCATCCTGGCAAATGTAGAAGTCTGTTATGATTAGAACAGCTGGATCTGTATGGCTCTATCAATAGATCTGGATATAAATCCACGTGTGCACATACGGAGATTTATGTGCCTACTCCCAATCCATTCCATATGGTTAATATCTAAACTTTGGGACACTTTTAAAGAACCTTTCAAATTTTCCCTTCAGGATGCATAAAATTAAAATTCTAAAACAGGGCTCAGGATTATCTGGCATTGCAACAACCATACTACTACAAAGAGTTTGAAAAAATATCCTGTTTTTAATATAGTAATGAATTAAAACATAGCTTTATTTATCCCTATAAGTGTAATGAAAAGAATACTTTGTTTTTAAGCAAGTGTAACGAGCACTATTTTGGTAGCCAACCCATCCACAAGAATGTATGTGAGAGAAGGTGAGCTGCAATCATACAGTCATTAACCATGTACCTTAACAAGGTGAATAACTGACGTATTTACAAACTAAGCAAATTTAATCCTGTCAGCTCTTATAAAAATGAGATTGAGGAGCAGACATGGAATGAGACCAAGATGCCTGAAAACACAAGGGGTCGCCACTTTTGTTTCAAAGAACCATATTAATCAAACCATTTTTCCCCAGTGATCTGAGGGCACAAATGTGGGTTTAGCAGTATATTCCAAAGTTAGATTACAGTCTTGAAATTATGCATCACAGCATCTTCATATTTTAACACCTTAATGCTGAGAAAGATTAACTTCAGGCAGAACTGTAAGAAAATAGCCTTTTATAAACTAAATTCTAAACTGAAAAGCTACAGTAGATGTAAAAAAGAAACAAGGGGGGGTGGGGGGAAGAGGTGGGGGCAGAGACTGATTGTGTGAGAAAGAGAAGAATATTACTTAGTAAAATCCAGTGACATCTACAATAGTTTTACAGCACATTTAAGCCCTCTAAGGTTTTATATCTCCACCTGCCTTCCATTTAAAACTTACTCCTTGTTAATGAAAAGACATAAGACAAAACAGAATGCAATGCTGGGAAGAAAAAAAAAAAAGCAAAATTAGATCAAGGCAATACATGTAAGTAAGCATGCCTGAAAGCCAGAAATAACATTCCCCCAAGCTTCTGTGCATGAAATAAATTTCTCATAGCATCAGCTGATTTGATTTTGTTTCAAAAGATAAAGTCCTCTAAACCACACTACCTCAGCAGCAACTCCAGCGAGTATGAACTGGACAGCTCTTGAGTAAACGTGGAATGCAACCGCCTCGAGCTCCTGCCCTCCTGGAAAAGGGCAACTGGCCCTGCAAGTGCAGCAACAGCGTACATTTCCCTGAAGCATCTTCTGCCTTGTGAGCAACCAAGGAAGTTGCAGTAAAATTGAATGTCTACTACTTACAGTGTTTCTCTCGAGCTATCGACAGCGATGCACAAATGAAAAAGGTGCCTCTTTTTTAATAGATCGGTTTAATACTGAAACAGATAGGATGAGGTTAAAAAAAAAAAAAAGAATAATCAAGGTACTGAACTGAATATTTTGAAGCAAGTGCCCCAGCTGTGGGGAAAAGTGCATTTAGTTCAGCAGCAAAACAGCACAGTGTGAAGATATTGTGCTTGGACACAGAAGTTCCATAATGGAAGGAGGTACAAGGCAAGTCAAGATATAAAACCATAGTACATTGTTACCAACTTTAAAACTTACATATATTGCAGTGTTCAAAAGTAAGACACATTCATTTATTGTACAAGGACTACAAGGAATCCTTAAAATTGCCTGTTGTAGTTTATGACTCAACACTGTAATAAAAATGTACATATATATTATTTCCTTGCCACTTAACTGTACTGTTAGACTTCGTGGAGTCGTTACTTCACAAAACAGAAAACCGCTTCTCACTGAGTACACTCCGTGTTTTCACCAATCTGAAAAGGTTTACTTGTGCTAGAAGAGACCAATCGCAAAAGGCTCAGTTCAGATATGTTATGCCTGCAACTGATAATTCAGGGAAGCAAGACTTAAAAGAATTCAAGCTTTTTTTTTTTTTTTTTTCCTACTTTTCTTTTGTTTTGACTGCATCCTTTTCACCTGCCAGTTGTTCTGATGAGTGTATGTCTTTAGTATACAAACCGGTTGATAAAAATTCATCAGCAGAGGCATATAAATTCTAGATATGATTGATTAAAACAGAGCAAATCAAAATAAAACAAAATCCAGTGATTTACTCTGACTGTAAACAATATAAAAACACCATTTGCTTCAAATCTCAAAATAAGTTAAAAGAAAATCCCAACCTCAGGACACGTGACCCTTTCAGGTTTTGACACACACACACAAAAAAAAAGAGGGATTAAAACAGAAAAGTTCATTATATAAAGGTTATATGCTTCTCTTAACTGAAAGTAAATCTAAGCAAAACTATCTTTGTCCCTTAAATTTAACTTTGAGTTCATTGGCAATTGCTTTAAATGAACTGGCATGTCCAGGTTACTCAACTTCCATCAAATTCAGCAAAGAAAACTTAGACAAGCATTTTTACAGATAAAAAAAAAAAATCTAAATGGCTATGATTCCTCTATTAGCAGAAACACATAATGCAGTCTTAAATTTGCCGTTTTATATTATTTATATATTTATATATATATATAATATAATATAAACCACATATATTATATTATATATACATACGCAGACAATTAAAACATTAATGCAGTTTGTATTTTGTACAGTGTATTGGACAATCCGATTAGCATCAGACCATGGCACGGTATGGTCCCTGCATCTTTAGGAACTGAATGATGAAAGAAGGTCCTCCTGCAACAATCTGAGGCGGAAGGTGGCTGAGTGGGCAGTTCTCAATACTCATTATTGACAGTTTGCTGCAAAGAGCCAGCTCAAAGGGAAGGCTGTGCAGATTGGGGTTGTCATTCAAATACAGTTCTTCCAGATTCTCCAGTGTACCTGGTTAAAATAAAATAATACAGAGAAGTATGTTTTGATTCACGCAGTTCTTAACTGTTAGAAGCATTAAGTCCACTTGAAGACTCTTCACAATGTGAAATCTAGAGTCAGTTACTCATCTAAACTCCTATTTTCAAGCCCAGTACGTTTTCTGTTCGCAAGCATTCGAACGAGAGCCACATCTGCTTTAGTTTTCCTGTGAAAATGGCCATTAAAACATCTCCTGTAGATAGCAATTGAAAATATGCAGAGTAACAGAGCAGATAGGGATTTTTATCTTAACTGTTCAGCCCAGCACTTTGCAAATGCAGGCAATGGTGAAGAGCTACCAAATTAGAAGGGTCTAGAAAACATTCATACTACATGCTATCTATTATCGCTAATAAAATATCTATATCATAGCTATCACATTTATTAGAAGCTTAAGATATAACTGTGATGTGCCACAGGAAGAAAGCAGGAGAGATCACAGCAGTGGATTTACTAAATGCAACAAACCAACGTGTGAAATTCCTTCTGAATCCAAATTTTACAACGTCTCTACTACAGATACTGTAATACAGACTAACCAGATGTTTGAATATGGAGTAAAGTTTCTAAAGATTTCAAGATCCTCCAGAGCAATTGATTATAAAAATAAACATACAACTTTAAAATACACTGCAAACATACAAGTGCTCCCCACAATCCTCTTCCATCTTACATCTATTACACCATAAATGTCTTCTATGCCCTGATAATCTATTTCATCTCCCATAAGAGAAAGAGCAGAAGCCAAGGCTTGATGTCTGACTGAATAAAACAATCCCATTCCTCCCCTTCTTTCCTTAGATCTCTCCCATTCCTACTCTTATCTCCCCAAGACAAAAAAAAGCAGTATGATGCTTTACAAACAGAATTGTGTGCAGGGGGACATCAGCAGAAATGTTTGCTTCAGTTGTCTACAACTTGCACAAGATTTTTGTCTAAACCACAGATTTAGAATAGGACTTGTACGTTTTCTTTCTAACGCTGACTTCTTTCCAAGAATAAGAGTAGGCTTATAACGTGATCAATACTATGTAGAAAAATGGCATCTCACCATTCCAAGTTAGGTGTGTTTTTGGCAGCTCTTTGCAGAGCAGCTGAAAAAAGCTAGACCATTCATTTCAGTACAGTTCAGAGAGATAAAGATCACACACTTATAGTGCTGTTTCAGTGGCACATATTTCATGTCGGGTTGTGTATATCTGGAAGTTTCACATGAATTTTGTGGTCTCTACTTGTGAGTACAATAGATGTCTATCTTCTGTGTCAGTGAGTGCTTTGGTTCAGCCACACTACACAAAAAAGAAAAGAAAAGAAAAAAAAAAACTTACCAATTTCCTCAGGAAGGTGTGTGAGAAGATTCTCTCCAAGCCCAAGGTGAGTCAGGTTGGTAAGGTGACCGATACCTCTGGGAAGGGTGGTCAACTGATTATTAGTCAGAACCAATTTCTAAGGGAAAAAAACCCCACATTGTTAAAAATTAACTTAACTTGTGTCTTCAAATAAAAGCAAATAACAAGATATATAGCTCACAAAGTGATGAATTCTACCCTCCTGCATTTGAACCAAAAAAACTTCTGCTCTGCAATATTTCAAACCTTTACTAAACATAAAAATAAAATAGTGCACAGTAAAACATACACCTTCTATCTTAAATATGAAAGTTTCATGAACATGACTAAAACCACAGAAGCTATTCCTGTGGTAGAAGTGTACTCATAGTATAACATGGTTAAGTTCTTGAAAATTTGTTTGTTCAAAATTAACGGATTAATCTGTGGAAAGAATTAGTGGGGACAGACTGCAGAGGAAGTCATACAAGATTCTTAACTCTTGGTTCTATATCCAGTCCCATATAGTTTCCCTCATCAAACTAGCTGTAATAAAGTTAGTATGGTGTAAATTAAGGACATAAAATGTTTATCTCTGCCAATTATTGTTTCACCTGCAGATCCTTGAGGTAAGCTATTTCATTTGGCAAGGATTCCAGTTTGTTTTCCTCTAGGTCTAGCTCTCGGAGTTTCCGGAGATTTCCAATTCCATGGGGAAGTTTTTTTAGGAGATTATTTGACAATATAAGAACCTTAAAAAAGAGACAGAATTTCAGCAATGCAATAAGTAAATAAGAAGTCAGGATGTGTAACAAGATAGGATCTTTTTGAATTTTCAAGTAGTGAAGTCCAAGACTAGCCTACATTCAAATTATGAAAAAGATGTAAATATACACACACACACTTTTTAAATCTTACTGGTACAGATACATAATTCTATTATATAATTATTACAAATATTATTTTACATAATAATAATAAATGTAAGCCAAAAACAAAGCACATCTTATTTGTTCAAGGAAAGTAGAACTACTTTTTCCTGTATTTTCCTATCACCTTGTTATTCTTTCTCACAGCTATTTCAAAGCCATATTTGACACAGTTTGTTGTGATTGCCAGGTCCTCCTTGAAAAGCAACATGCTTCCTTTTTTCCCTGCATCTCTTCGGGTTGGAATAGCAGCAAGTAAATGCATGGATCAGAGCACCTGAGCAGCACACTGCAAGGATATTCACTGGTCTGCTACTACACACTCACTTTTCCCAAGGTGTTATCTTCCTTTATTTCTCCTTTCTAAATTGGAAACCCACATTCACGAAATGTATTCTTATTTGCAATGTCAATTAATAGAGTTACTCATTAAGCCACAACTCATACTAGTATACTGTTTTTGACCAAAAAGTCCAGTAGTCCTTAGGGGAAAAAAAAAAAAAATCAAGCTTCATAACAACATAGCAAGCACAAATGTAATCAATCACTGTCTAAACAATAGTATTATCTAGTGATTTAACAAGGCACACCAAGATGTGTGAAAGTGCACCAGTGCAGACACTCATCCCAGCTAAGCCAGCCAGGGTTACAGATGCTGAGGAGGTAATTATTCCAGTTTTCACTAGCTTTGAGGAGACTGGAAACACTGAGGGCAGGAAAGAATAGAAAACAAGGCTAAAATGAAAGTGAAAAATCAAAGTGAATAAAAATAAAAAAATTAGCATTAGCACAAGCAGTATTATGATGGCTTTCCTTTATGTGCTAAGACACATAATGGTTAGAATAATAATGCTATATTCGCAAATCAAGAAACAAAGGCAGGAACAAAAAATATTACCTACATGCAGCACAGCTGACTTAGCACTGCTGTGGGAACCTTAACTTTAGAGTAAACATTGCCCAAATAGCTTTTTGTATTTGATTCCTTAATTACAGAGAAAGCAGTAATGGCTTTGTGGACAGCCCAGCTCTCCAGCTTCAGCAGCTGGCAGAGCACTTGCAAATCCAGCTGTCAGGTGTTAACACCTTCCCCATCAAATCAGCCAGAGCCTTAACTTAAAGAAAGCTGAACTGCTTAATAGCTACTGTTCTGTCATATCCATTGCCACAACTCCAGGAATTATTAATCACTCAGAGCAGCCATCGCACTGGAAACCATCGATTTCAAACATGATATTTGTTACTGTCTTTTAACAGACTTTTTCCAGTGACTCACAGAGGCTGTGAAGTCCCCTAATGACATGTCAGAGCTACCCGAACAAGGACCTCTGTCCTTACATCCCTCCAAGATGATTATGTTTGACTGTCTCTGCTGATGTTACCTTGGGAAACAGGACTAAGAGATACAAGACAGGTCTAGTTCATGATTTCCAAGTATAGAGCTCTTCTCCCTTCAGGGTTGAGGAGATTTCCCACCCGGCTGTTTACAGGGTTCACAGTGCAGCCATCTCTGACTGCAGACCATTTCATTATGTTTTTTTGACCCCTTTGTTTCCATGCTAGTGTCCCCAGGAATCAAACCCAGCTCAGTGCCATTTCATTTCCAGCATTTTCTGTTGAAAATATTTTTCTTTCCACACAGTTGAAAATATGTCTACACTTAACCCTTTGCGACAGACGTTCACCTAGAGCCTGAAGAACATTCAAAAAGCCATTCACAACAATCACAGACAGATTAAAAATATCTATTCAAATAGCATACCTGTACATATTTATTTGGTCTTATTTGACAAAAAAAAAAAAAACACTTTTCTTAAACCTAGAGTAGAAAATGTCTATTGGTAGGGATTCGAGTAATTGTTCATATTCTTCTCACCTCAAGAGAAACAAGCCCAGACACATCCTCAGGGATCTTTGTGAGTTGGTTAGTCGCTAAGTTCAGTTCTACCATACTAGTCCAAGTCCCAAAGTCCAAGGGGAGAGAGGTCAGCTGATTGTCCTGAGATTTAACACAGCAAACAATTAGGGTATGCATTTGCAAGAGACCAACAAGGCATTTGAGTGACTAAACTTCAAAACAAAATAGCAGCTAATTACATCAGAATAAAATGGTGACAATTGGTCAAATATCTTTTAATTCCTCAGAATGTAATAAGCAGTCCGAATTTACAGTTGCAGAATTGATTTTGTGTTACCAACAAGAACTCAAATGGAAAACTTAGAAGTACATAATCCAAAACATTTCATGCTCCAGTAGTTAAAACATTTTTCATTTTGTTACAGAATACAATGGAGAGAAAAAAGAACAGCAAATTTGTACCATAATGTACAAAGCTGTTATCAGAAACGCTGAAATACAAAGAATGCACAGAGCTTGCTAGGAAAAAAAAAAAAATACAGAAAATCCTCCTCTTTCAATCTGTTTAAAAAATAAGAAGTCAATAAACAACATAAGCAAAGACATTACTCAAGGCTCTGACTTGGCTGAGCTGGGGCACAAGGAGCAGCCAGCAATGCTTCATAGCTCAGTCTGGAAACAATAGACACATGGGGCTTAGGAGAGTAAAGAGAGAGGGGAGTAAAGAGAAAAAAAACACAAGGGAAATATACATTAATGGCTCACAATAAAAGCATCTTAAACTAAACATCCTTGTGCTCAAAATGCTGCTATATTTGATCTAGATCAGACACCATGAAATAATATATCCATATATATGTATATAAGTATGTCATACAAAGCACCGGTAAATGTGAAATTACAGATGGCTAAATGATTGAAAAAAATGGTAATAAGGCAAATTGAGAATCCACATATACCAAAAAATATTAAAAAAATAGTTGCTGAGCATAACTACTGCTCAAAAATACTTTTTTTTTTTTTAAACAACTTGCTTTAAAAACTTAAAACAAGCCCATTCATTGAAAGATGTCACCTCTTTTCCCAGGTTCTCATCACTCTGTGTGTACATAGCACACACATAAAGGTCCTCTTTCCTATGTGCTCTACTGCTACTGCCAAAATCCTCCAAACTTAGACTTTGAAATAAAATATTCCGAAGATATTTTACATAACTTTGTTTTTAGCCTAAATTGCAACAGTGCAGAGAGGAGGAAAGAAATGTGTTACTCTGCATGCTCATGCCCTATTTGAACATTAGAAAATTTTGCAGCCCACTTTGTTGCTGTTCACATTCCTGCAAACACAACAACTGTGTAAGCAACAAAAATGAAGACAGATCAATAACAGTGTGACAGTACATTTTTTAAACTAATCCAGAATTGCTTCTATTTTTAAGGGCAGCAGTGTCTACTCAATCATGATAAATTCATTCCTTAAATCATTATGCTTGCCAGAATTAATGGAATAGGAAACAGTGCTCCTCATTGATTTTACAAACTGTAGCATGTTTCTGTGCCTCACCTTCATGTTCAGCTTACTTAATACTTTAGCTCTAGAGAAAATTCCAAAGGGGATTTTATTGATGCGGTTGTGCTCCATGTTGAGAGAGTAGATTGTGGAGAACTGGGACGGGCCACCCACAGGATAGGACTGGAAGCAGTTCCTGGCCAGCGTTAAACTAGTCAGCTTGACAAGGCTGGATAAAAGACCCTGTAGAGAGAAGAAAACCACCCAGGAACTTAGGACAGATTTATTTGAATACATCTCTTTTTCCTCATGGGTCTAATTAGAAATGCTATCCCCCAAGTCTAAATGAGCATTGCAACACACAAACCACTGTTAAATCTGATAAAACTTCCAAGAGCAGCAAACTACCCTTGCAGTTGTCAGCCTTCACCTTGTTTCCTCTGTTCTGTTTACATACTTCCAGATATAAGCAAAGCAAACATATCGCACCTGAAAGCTCAGGAGGTTTTATAACTTTCTTCTCCTTCAAATGGAATTTTTTAATAACACATTGCTACCTCTTGGGCAACTCTGGCAGCAGTGTGCCCATCCTCATGTCCAGGCTCTGAAGGAGCGCAGCCTACGCTGCTGAGCTGAGCTTCCCTTAATCTTGCTCACAAATGACAGCAAGGCCCAAAGAACCACCAAATCCAAGCACGACTTCTCAAAGGTGTATTTGATACTTCGAATTCCAATCTTCGTAATTTAACAACTCATACTGTGAATGCATCTGGTAGAGGTTTCTTTTTAGGCTATAACAGTTTCAGATAGCTGGACAGTCTAGAAAAGAATGCAGAAGCTTTTGGGGAATTCCCTTTTTTTTTTTCTTTCCTGTTTCCAAAATATCCCTAAATAGTTATTACTCCACCTGTCTTGTCTTCAAAAATAAAAAAAGTAAAACCCCCAGAGCCAATCTGGATAGCAATGGTTGCCCACTGAGTCCACAGGCTCACTGTGCCCCCTTCATAATCCAAGCAGACTCTGAAATTTCAGCAGCCAGGATCAGAGTTTATCTTAGATACGTGCCAAGCACGCTGCTGGAACCATAGGGATGAATAATGAGAGCAAAATTACTGCTGAAGTGTCACCTTGGCTTATTACTATGCCAATTTGAATTCAGCTCCATTTGCTTAAGTATTACAGAAATTGGAGATTTATGCATGGCATTACATACCATAAATAATGCAACATCTGCAATCAGGAAAGAGCAGTAACAAGATAATGATTCCAACTCTATTTCCAATATCAGTATTTCTGAACTGCTCTACGTGCACTGTAAGAACTTTAAGAATATGGTTTTGTTGCTTTGATCAGGGAAGATTGGGTAATTTTTCTGTTCTAAGTTTATTAACATTACTGTTAGTAAAATGAGATTTAATAGGAATTTTCTACATGTCATGGCTAAAACATTTTAGCACTGAAATATAATTCTGAGGGCATTTCAGTAAGTGTCAATGAAGCAATTCTACCCCAAAGACAAAATAAAGGATTGTTAAATCAGTATTAGTCATTAAAATCTAATCATTAACTAGTACTATCTTTGATTAGGAAATACTCCTTCTAGCTGTACTTTCTTTAATTAACTGATATTCTTTGTCTGAGGATTAAGCAGTCCCTGAGCTCTGTCACAAAAACACTTTATGGCTTCAGATGGATCTTGGCATTTCCAGAAGCCATTTTTTAAAGCCTGCATCCATGCAAAAAATATTAGAAATGTTAGCTAATACACTCTAACAGCCTAGATTAATTAACCACATTTGAAGGAAAGTAAGAGAGCTTTGGCAGTGCAAAAAGACAATGCTCTTATGTCTATGAAATCTGTAGCAGTGCTGCCTTCTCCCAATCCATCCTTTTAAGATAAAATATTTATTGGGCGCTGTGTCAGCAACCTCAGTTATGTTTGGAAATTCCAAAGTTTCTTTTACAAATGCAGTTCTTTATATTATAGCAAGGAATGTTTTATTCTAAACAGATTACAGTATGAATTATACATTTCTGCAAGTTAGCAGCTTAAATGTTAACATATTGTTGGCAAATATGTGAAGAAGGCAGCATAGTCTCTAAGAGTTTTGTATTAGGATTGAACACATTTCAAAGCAAGTAATCACTCCCACATTATCTTTCTGTGATTACACTGTAGTTGCTTTTATAGTATGTATGGGTGGGATGGGCTAGCTTAGCTCTTATACTGACAGCAGCCTGGTGGCTCTCACTTATTTGCTTTTTCCTAAATGACAGTTATATCCAAACCCTTATTAAATTTTCTGTTTCTCAGGGCTGTGTTTCAGGGAATTCCTGAGGAATAAAGAGGAACAAAGATGCACTCTCCACCTCAGAGTAAATGTGTTGCCTGAACAGACAGAAAATGTGTCTCCATGACTTCTAAATCTACAGTCCTTTTCTTTGCTCATGTACTAAAGCAACAGGTAAAACAATCAAGGACAGCAATCATGAAAAGAAAAGCACAAAAACTGATTCTCTTCTCCTTTCTCCTGAGATCTGTGCAGAGTCACTGCAAACTGTAAAAAAAAAAAAAAAGTAGTCTATTTTTTTTATTTTTCGTAACTGATTAAATGAGCATCAGTGAGTTGCTGGATGATATCAGATGCATGTCAACAGCATACTCTTTTTCCAGGTTAAAATGAGAATGCTAAGGCAAAGTATCCTTTAGCAGGCTTTATCCATTCTTTCAAAGGTCATTCTTGACTTAACTAGATGCTGATAGAGATATTCCTTTTACTTTTCTCTGCTTCTACATCTTCCCCACCTCCATGAAACACTTTGTATCCATGATGGGAAGCTGGGCTCCTTATTTAAGGTTTCCTGAAGAGACTCAGGACAGCAAATACAACACATGCCAGTCCCACTTCTGACAGAAGTTGCGTAACATAATTCTTCCACACAAGCTACATATATCTAACATGTACAGAATTGTTATTTTTCATGTTACACATGTAGATTTAGGTGGAAGTTTTTCACACAGAGGATGGTGAAGCACTGGAACAGGTTGCCCAAGGAAGTTGTGGATGCCTCATCCCTGGCTGCATTCAAGGCAGGTTGGATGTGGCTCTCAGCAGCCTGGTCTAGTGGTTGGTGACCTTACTCATGGCAGGGGGATAGAAACTAGATCATCATTATGGTCCTTTTCAACCCAGGCCATTCTACGATTCTATGATTAAAACAAATGGTATTCCTCAGAACTGCAAGGAAAGATGAAGTTATTTTATATGTTTCAATGCCTCTGAAAACAGAGACCGCTTTCAATACATTCTCTCCCAAATCCACTGCATCTCTCACCTCTGGTAAAGTAGAAATATTGTTGTTCTCCAGGTTCAGTTCATCAAGTTCACTGCATTTTGCTAAAGACTTCGGAATTGCTGACAGCCTATTGTACCTCAGGCCAAGACGACTTAAACTGGATAGATTTCCTACAGGGAGGAAGCAGTGATTAATACATCATTATATTAACACCAAGGAACAGAACAAGGTTTGATTTCTGATTCTTCTGTTGTCTCACACTCTACACTTCACAGCTTTTCAAAGGGTGAAATGGGGCTATCATTCTCAAACAGGATGTTCATAGTTTGCAGTGCTTTCCAATGCTAAGATCAACTACGCAGGAGAAGTACATTGTTCATACCATGTATTCTTAACTTGTGCATGATCTGGTAAGCAAGGAATGCCTACATCATCTTGAAGAAGTATTCTCTTCCAATCTTTTCAGCAAAAGAACTCTATATGTTTTCCAGATTCCCCAAAATATCTTTACCATCCTCCAGAAGCAACAGTCTTTAAAAAGTGATAGGAAAAAAAATTCTTCCAAGTTTTTCAAATCATTTAAGGAAAAGTCTGGAGGATGTCCTTGAAAATCTGGACAATAGGACATTTTTTTAAATATAGTTTTTGAATATTGCCAGGCCAACAGTTCAGCTGACATATATGTGAGTTTAAAGAAAAAAATCTAAAGCAGCTTTCAACTTAAGGATGTCGTCAGCCTTTCTAGCACTGGAGCATTTGGTACTCTCCTGCAGGTAAGAAGGTATTGAATTTCACTGTCAACTAGTACACAGTATGAAGAACAATACAAAGTTTTCTGACTCAGTCATATATTTAGAAAGCATCTGTGCACAAGTGCACATTTGAGTAGCAGAAGGTTCTAAACAAATCCACATAATCGGTTCCTTGCAAAACATTCCCTGTTTTGTGTTTTTACAGCCAGTCATGGAACAACGTATTTTTTCCACGTATTGAAATACCAGAAAGATAATATTAGGAAAGAAATAGAAGGTTTAACAGCAGCAAGAATAATCAGAATTTTTTTTGTAAAAATATGAAGGGAGCTTTATACTTCTAGTCTAAGTAGTTATGCATTAACTGAAGGATAAATTAACATCTATATGTGTACTTGTACAAAGGTTACTGGAACACAGCAAAGAAACAAATGTAGTGTATGAAACTTGGAAGCAGCATATTAAACTAACTATATGGGAAATAAAGAATGAAAAGTAATACAAATAATTAATTAGGTCCACTAGAAAAGGGAAGAATCTCAGCAAAGGAACTGGCAAAATATCTTTCCTAACTTCTCTGGACTGGTCGAACTGTACTGTAAAAATGACCCTGCACCACTGAGTAGCTAGATTGGGTGCATACCCAATAAGAACTGAACTTTAGGAACGTTTGATGGTTTCAGAGCTACTAAAATGGAGATTCACAAGAACAGCGAAAAGGAAAAAAACATCAAAAAAGCTTTCCACATTAAAAAAAAAAAAAAAAAAACCCTTCAGGTCTTACAAATCAAGAGAGAAGAGAGGATAAGTTTTCAGTACATATCTGATAGCAACCTAACAAGCTTAGCAACAAATTTCACTTAGTATTGTCAATAATGAAACCAAAACTCAAACAGGTACCACATGAGCTGTTTACCCAGTTCTATCTCCCACTGGGATTTTTATTTTTAAGAGCTTTCTTTCCAAGCAAGTACGTAATTTGCTTTTGCAGAAGCAGTAAAGCATTCCCTTAATCAAAAAAGGCATTTAAAATCTAAGGCTATCAATATTGCTCTCCAGTACACAAATATTCATCTTCTGATGTTAAATCCTAGAGTACATATACATACAAGAGTAATTAAGAGCTGCTTTGATCCTATAATTCACCAATATCAATATGCTTATATGTATGTAAAGTGGGATATTTCATGCCATATTCAGTACAATCTGTTTGCATAGGAACCTGTCCTCACCTCGAGAGATTCACATTCTATTGTAAGGAATGGAGAGCATGAGGATTCACTGATCTAGGGATAAACAAAGCATACCCTGACTGCACTTCTCTGAATTAGCATCTAACAAACACCTCTCTTACTAAACAAGGGACAAGCTTTACACAAATAAGATAATAATTTATTCTTTTTCAGCACATAAACCTTGAGCTAGGCTCTGGTATTGATTTCTCAGGCTCCCCCCAGGAGTACAAGCAGGGCACGGCTCTAGCAGCCAGCATGCTGCCAACTGTTGCTTAGCAATACGACGTCGCTGTGCTGACTCCAGATTGCGAGCACAGGTTGCATGGCTACAGCTCTGCTCTGTTCCTACAGCAATGTGGCATTTCAGAAAATGCAACAAGGCAGCCACTGCAGAGTCAGACCCTTCAGTCCTCACTGGGTACCACAGTGAGCAATCCTTTCATTTCCAGACATTCACTTTTGCTGCCCAAAATTGCACTGTTGCTAGAAGGGGCCCAGAGGAGCTGAAGAATACTGCCATGTCCCTCAGCCAGCCCTGCAGTCACTTCATTGCACCTCTGCCTTCTCCAGTTTGGTTACTGATGTCTTATATGGAGCCACATTAAACTCTCCACTGACACACAGTCAGGCTGCATATTCTGCAGGGTTGGTAACAGCTGATCATGATCCGTTCAGTCAGTTATATGATGAGGATCTTCTGCAGTTGCGTTTCTGCTGCTGAAATCATACCTCAGTGGTTGCTCTTCAGCAGCAAGGTGGCAGGCAGGGTGACTCAGAAGAAGCAGAACTAGATGTTCACAAATGTGACAGTCTGATCATCACAATTTTTTTTCAGCTACTGGCAGAAAAAAATGCAACTAAAAGCTATTCCAATTTGTTTTCTTAGGAAGCCCACTTAGAAAAAAGCTCTTGTAAATTGAATTGCCCTGTGAAAAGATACTTCTAAAGTATCATACTATAGACTAACTAAACCCTAAAATCAAGTCAGGCATAAGCAAGTATGAACAGCTGCCCCTGGGAGTCCCATTTCACATCACCACCTCTGCAGCAGCTCTGTTGGACTTTATCACATTAAGGCACACAACATCCAGCAGCAGGTCTTGCATCACCCAGCACAACTCCTTGCCTCTCAGTGCTAAGCTGCATCATTTCATCAGAGAGAAGACTAAGTTGAAGCAGAACACCATGCTTATCCACACACTTTTTAGAAAGACTACCTGAAGCAGTTTTCTAATTAGAAGCAACACATCTCTTTCTTGAATATTTCAGAATCAAGAGAAATGGGCTGTGATGGATCAAATAAAATAAAGAAATCTAAATTCCTATTCCAAAGTCCTACTACTGCCTTCAAAGGCTCTCCTATTTGAAATTCATCATTCTTCTCTTCCTCCCCTAGTTAAAATAATCCTTCAGATCTCTTGTCCTCAGATGAAGGGTCACTACTTAGCACAAAATACTACTGCATCATTACTAAAAGTAAAAGCCATTACTCTGATTTATGCAACTTAGCTTGCATCAAGCTAGCTTGCTAGTTGCTTTTGCCCAAACATACAGATCAATTTAAAATCTGTTCAATAGAAAAAAAAAACATTTTGCAGGTAACATTAACACACAAATTGGACTGACAAGAGCTTGCACCTCAAAAACCCTTAAGATTATGATAAAAGGCATACAAAAAGTTCTTCATGGAGCAGATATTCACAAGAACGTACTACAAACATGACATTAGTAAGTACTTTTCTGATCTGATAAATATTCTTAGATTTTTATTTGACTAAACCCCGCAAACAGCAGGTAGCCACCTGAGAAAGAGCTTAACTTTCTATTACTATCTATCATTTCATAGAGCTCAGTTCACTTGATTCCCAGAGGAGTTTTTCTTCTCGGGAAAATGAATTCTTTTGCATACAAAAGGTACCAGATGTCGATTAACCTTAAAACACCACATTGAATTAATTTTGCATAAAATAACTACAATGACAGTACAGAAGAAAAAGCCAAAAGGGGTTCAGTGAGCACGTTAAAAATTATTATAACACCCAAAGCAGGTGGGAACAAGGGCCATAGAAGAACTGAAAACTTCACAGGAGAGATTGGGCAAGCTAGAGATGGCCAACTGAAGACAGCGATTCAACACTGTGTTCAAATATTTCAGCAGTGCTTGGAACCTAAAATAGCCGCAAGGCAGGCTAGAAGATGCCTGTGTCACACTCTGCACTTATCATGTATTAGTTTTTCCAGATGTCAGCCATACTCCACAACAACTGTTGAAGTTTCACAGATTTTTAGGTGAAAGGAGCTGTTGACATGTTTAATCTAATCTCTTGTCAGAAGGCAAAACATTTCTCCTGATAGCTACAGAGTAAAATGAAAGGCTTCAACTAAAACATTTCAACCTCCACTTGTACTCCACGAGCAAAGGCCACTCGATGTCCAGCACTGCTCCAGCAAGAAGCTGGGCAGGCAAGATGCCCTGGATGTGAGCTCAGTAAGCTCACTGCAGAGGAACGCAGAACACAATCCCGTAGTTGTTCTCATCTGATCTGTGGGCAACTCCTCCCTAAACCAAAGGCCATAGATTTGTATGAATGTAAACGCACTTTACCCAAGAAAGGTCAAATCCTTTCTCTAACCTGCAGGGTTGGAATGTTCCTCACGTTTAAGATATCTTCTGCCTAATTACTGATGCTTTAGAAAATGGGGAACAAAGGTGATTTAAGGGGTGGGAACGTTAGGGTAGCAGTAATGTAGAAGAAAAGAGAATCCTTCCTACCCACTGCTACCAACTATCAAAGCCAAAGCAAGAAATATAGTTGTATTTTTCAAAATGCAAAGATACAGTGAGCTTAAGATCACTGAGCAACACACAGTTTGACTTACAGATTCTGGATTTTACTGGCTTGATAGCAACATGATTTGAATGTATTGTTATTTTTCTTTCTGGCCACCAATGCCTCCTGATGGACAGTGCAGGAGGCAGATTCAGGCTTCCAACTTACAAAGTCGACAAGGTCCACTGTTTCTTGTTCTGTTCAAACCTAAGCTTATTATCCTATTTACACGAAGCCCAGAAATTCTCTAAAAAGACATCCACCTATTAAAAAACTACCTAACATCACTTTAAAATGCATCTTTACCATCCTTATCAAGTTAAATGCCATTTGGAGAGAGCAAAGAGATTCC